TGAATGTGTACACACACGCATGTATGCACATGCACACACAAGTTTATTACACATATGTTCATCTCCTAGACACTTGTCCTTCTTGACTAGGGCAATTTTGTCCCCCAGGAGATATTGGCAAAGTCTGGAGACATTTTTGGCTACCACAACTTGGGGTGGCGTTCCGACTGGCATCCAAGGTAGAGATCGGGGATGCTGCTACCCATCTAACCATACCTATCACCCTGAGCAAAGGGTCTTATGGCCCAAAATGTCAACAAGGCCAAGGCTAAGAAATCCTGTCCTAGAGCCAGTGACTTACTTGTATGTCCACATGTCTATGGCATGGTTGGATCCTAGGATCACCTCATTTAGCCAACATTCTACACTCTGTTCATGGGTGTCCAACTACCAGGCCTCAGGCTTATTTTAGAAATCTCTGTCTTTCAACAGTTTTGACAGCTATTTACAGGACAACCTCTTACAAAGCCAACACTTTCATATCCATTCTCTCATTTTGGGCATATTGCAAAATTCTATTTACCAATGAGGAAGCTGAGACTCAAAGAAGTCAAGTCATTTGCCAAAGTTGCATAGCTAGAAATTGCAGAGTCAGGGTTCAATTACAGTTTTACTGAAATGTACTCAGATGTCTTTCCTCTGACACCAGCACTTCATCTTCTTTTGAGTAGTTTTGTTTTAAATTAGTTTTCTGTCTGGAGAGCCCCAAGACTACTTGCTGCATGTCAGTCCTCAGAAGAGCCCTCTTGTTAATTCAACTTCCCTATACTAAGATACAGAGATTGCCACCCCCAGAGGCGAAAACACTTGCTGTTGCTGCTGCTACTGCTGCTGCTGCTGCTGCTTCTGCTGTTGCAGAAGCTTCCATCTTTCAGTTTGTCTTTATTCCCTTTTTGTATTTGTACTTACACAATTTTGAGTAGTTCCAGATCTCTTCTCTGAATCCCAATATCTAGCACACAGGAAAATCATCTACAATTTTCTAAACTTAGAAGGAGAGAAGACTTCCCCAGGAGAACCCTTTATCCCGCACCTTCTCTCCAGACACATTC